GGGAAAGGGGGGGGGGGGGGAGGAATCCCTGTGGGGAGCAGTGACTGAGCTGTGTCACAACTCTCTGAAGGAAGGAGACTGAACTGAGCAATCAGCAGTTATATGATCGCTCTGCTTTTGGTTTAGAGCCGGCGTGCGACAGCTGCAGTGTCCCACACCAGCTCGAAGCATTGCACAGAATATATTTTACACTCAAAGTACTTTTCCTTTAACATCCCAAGCAACTGCTTTTAATAATTTATAAACATATGTAAACAATAGAGTGTAAACATCTAATGCGTTCAATTATAGCTAGAGTGTAAACATCTAATGTGTTCGATTATAGCTAGAATACCCCATCAAGCACAAACAATTGTCAATTTTGGAGATCATTTAACATTACTAGCCAACCAATCCTTGACAAACAACGGAAATAATTTCCTTTTGCGCATTGCATCTGCTGTGTTCTTGCTGAGATTTTTAACAAATGAAAACCCCACTGATTCATCGATTTTCATTCAGTCAGAAAAATTTTCCAACCTGACTGACCAAAAAATGTAAAACAACATCAAAAACAAAACAAAAAATCAACTGTACGATTTTCGTTCGAAAGACCGTTCGTGTATGATTTCTGAACACAAATCGTCAATGTATGGCCACCTTAAGTCTATTGATGGATAAGTTAGGTCCAGTATTACCAATAATGGGTCCTGAAACCATAGATGTTAAAATGTAGTTAAAAGGAAAAACTTGACATGGTTAGTAAACGATGTTTGAGCTTCACAATAATTCTATCTACCATCATAGTGTAAAAGGGTCTCGCCAGAATTCAGCACTGATGCCAATAGACGGAAACATGAATTACACCCAGAAACAAGTAGAATGCTCCAGGATAATGTGCTCGGGTGACTTACAGAATCATTATACCAGTATTATATGCACTCACCTCACACATGACAAAATAGACTAATGCCTTATTTCAGGGATTAGCTCAGTGACACATGAACAGTTTTACATTTGTTGTCCAGCCCCTGCAGCAACACATTTCACATTTGAAAATTCTCCTCTGAACAGTCCCTGTAGCCAGCCACTGTTTGGGTATTCAGCAGCCACTATTCCAGAGGCTGCGAAATACAATAGCCTGACAGGGAATGGTTACTATCCATGCTGCTTAGTGTGGATTGGGAATCAAGTGTTAGCAGGGCTGCACAAGTAAAAGCACACAGTGTATGGCTGGCTTAAAGTACCATTAAAGATACATCCCGCCCCCAATTCTGCTTGAAGAACTTACTTTATAGAATGCCTCTTGATCCAATCATCATCTTCTTTCCAATAGTTTTCAGGAGTCCCTCCAGCGCCGGTGTCTGTCTCTGTTCGCGTGCACACTGCCGGCTGCCTGCATTGACGTACACTGTGTCTCTGCTCCTGGCCGAAGATCTCTAGTGCGCATGCGAGTCCTCAGCCCTGTTCAAGCTCCAAGGTTATCTTAGTGAGAGCTTACACAGAGCCTTGCCTTCCTCCCAGTGGAAAATTGAGCAGCAGAGGAGTGAGCGGGACAACGAGCTTATGCAAGGAAGCTGAAAAAATACATTACGTGACAACATGGGAAGTTGGAGTGTAAAAGGTGCCCATACACCTTGCAAATCATCAGACGAAAGTTTTTGTCTGATGATCGAACCGTCATACGATTTTCGTACGGCGGCCCCATCCTTCCCCGACCATCGCACAGTTCAATAAGCGGTCATTAGAAATCACCTGGACAAATATCGTTAATCGACTGCACGGATTTTGGTTTGTGCATGAGCAGTGTTAAATCGTACGAATTTTGACGTACGGAAATGCCACCAACCTTGCAAAATCGTGCGATCGACCAACGTTTTCTGGCATGCTGGAAAGACGAACGTCGTACGATTGTACAGTATTTGCGGTAGTAGACTCCCCACCAACCTTACAAATATCGGACGAAAACGAGATCACAAACGAAAATCGGCCCATATTCGTAAGGTGTATGGGCACGATAAGGCAAGCAGCCTTTTCTTTTACTCCAATACAATTTATTTTAATTTTTATAAGATTTTCAGCTGGGAAAAAAAAGGTATCTTTTAAATAGTTTTTTTTTTTTTGCAAGGTCCGCTTCACCTTCAAATAGCAGTTGAATTCTTCACCACAAGGAAGGAGAGAGAAAAATGTGTATGGTCAGCTTTAGGTCCATGCCCCCACTAGATTTCCCCTCACCTCTTGTTCTGGGTACAACCCCAAAAAACGTTTAATTTCTTTCTTGGCGACAATATGACCAGTATGAATAGAGGGGGTGAAGCTCCCCAATGTGATCACAGACAGCAACAACAAGATGATCAACTTTCTTGATATGGGAGGGATCAAATGTGGCCACTGAAATCACTAAATAATATTCAGGGAATCTAATACTACAGAACACTGACACCCACTGAAGAGAAGCTGCATTATATGGCCAGAGACTTTGGATATGCTGTTGCTGAGTTGCAAGTTGTTGGTGACAGGGGGCGTGTAGACACATTACATAAGACTGCTAGAGATCACTGCGATGGCTGCCATTATTAAATCCATGCTTTTACAATTGGACTACCTAAAGCCCCCTAAATTGAACCGTCACAGCAAGATCAAATATAAAACATCAGAGAAAAGCGATGAACAGCACAGAAAAAAAAAAAGCAAGAGTGTGAAAGAAATAACCCGAGCCATTTAATCACTAGAAGCCGAATATTTCACCTTCACTGACCTGACTAAGGACCTTGCTAAGGAAAACACAGACATTTCTGTTTTACAAAGCAAGTGTGTGGACAGCCAGAACCACTTTATTTTAGGGTAGTATAGAGAAAGGTTGGAACCTCTGCCAGGTTATTTTATTGCTAGCTACACATCATTGCGTAATTTTCTCCACTTCCTGTCCTAGAGGTGCAACAGGAAGCTGGAGGAAATGTCACAAAGCTAAGTGAATTCCTCTCAAGAAAGTTGTCCCTGATGAGAGATTTCCCCTCACCTCCTGTCCTGGGGACAACTCTAAGTCCACATTTGTAAGGCGCATTTTGTAGCGCTTTGTCCGCGCAAAAAAAAAAACGCCTAAAAAATTCCCATGTTCACAACTGAGTGTCATGTCACTTGGAGCACAAGGCCCATCGCTTGAAGAAAGTACATGAGCTATTTTTTGGCAGATTCTGCGCTTCTTTGCCCCATAGACTTGGAAACGTCAAAAACATGTGTTTGCGCATATTGTTTATGGGTGTGTAAACCGCACATCTGTTCATTCACATCACTGTGCCGCAATCTGCTCGTTAAAACGCGTGGCTGTATGTAAGCCCATAAAACGAGAGTTAAAATACACATAAACGTGCTACACAAAATCGCGTTGAAAAGCGTATATTTCATGTCGCTCGGATGTGAATGCCAGCTAAAGCTTTGGAATCCCACTCTCTCTCTAGACTACAATGGTCACCAGTACTAATAGAGGGGTCAATCCCCACAATGGGGACTCAGACAGCAGTAAAACATGACAGAGGATCTAACCCTTCCCTACTCCATCTAGAACAGTGCAGGAGTACAGTCTCCTTTAAATATTGTGTAATATGAGGACAAAAAAAACAGCACATTCAATCCGTATCAAATCAGAGGTCCTTGCACAACATAGTGGATGGAAGACCTAAAAGGAGATCGTACAATCAAATTATATACTGCACGGGTGAGAAACTCTGGCCCTCTAGCTGTTGTGGAACTACAAATCCCATGAGGCATTGCAAGAGATTCTCACAGACAGATACATCAAGGGAATTGTAGTTTTACTACAGCTGGACTGTCGGAGTTTGCCAACCCCTTGTATAGTGTACAGTGACCTTTAGATCTGCCAAAACCATGTAATACGAGGACATGCCCAGACTATCCAACTGCACTACATACGTGTTGTAGATCGAAAGGACATTTTACAATCATATTTTAGCATGTGGCGAGTGTAAAGCTGGCCATACAATAAACAATCTGATTGTATCATGTCTAGATCCACCATCAACTATGTAGTACAAGGGCCATTCACTATACAATCTCCTTTAGATCCATCAACTATACAGTACAAGGGTCTGTCTGACTGGATACAAATTAAAAAGGACTGTCCTTATATTACAAAAAGTTTTGATAAATCTAAAGGAATTTGCACAAGGATTGTACAAACTGATCATAGACTATACAATCTCCTTAGATTGAAGGACTATTATGCGCTGTAAAACTGGAGATGATACAATCATATGATGTGACATTTGCGGACACAATGACTATGGCAGGTCTTGATGAGAACTCACCCTATGACCTCGTCACTGTAATTCCTAGTCTTCCATGGGGTCCCATTATACGATACTCCGGCCACAACATTCCCGGGGGCAGTATGCAGCAGGCTGTAGTTCAGTCCGAAGGTGCTGGCTTTATTGTCCCGTTTCCTCTTGTTCCTGTTGGTGTGATCGTGGTCCTTCCGCCACCCCCCGGGGCTCTGGGTCAGGGGCTGCTTGTTGTTGTTGGTGGTCTCCAGTGGTAAGAAGTCCCCCTGCTCGCCCAGTGCTTGGGTGACAGGCATGGGGGAGGCCTGAGCTGAGCCGCCATCCCGGTACATGTTGGCCTCACACCCTGAGGAGCTAGTGGAAGATCCGCTGTGTGCGGGGGAGGCCGGGCTGTTGTGGTTGAAGTAGAGGTTCCTCAGGCCTTGCGTGGTCTCCCAGATCTGCATCCACAGGCTGTTTGAGGGGCCAAGCTGCTCTGGCTGGAACCAGGCGATCCGAGGATCCATCAAACGGAGCCTAGGCTCCCCGATCCGCCTCCCACCGGGGCCGCCCTGGCCGGTCACCTATCTGCCCGTTATAATCTCTGATTGGCTCTGTGGAAGGTTCAGTCTATACATGCACCCCGGATATGTGATTGTCACCCCGGGCCTGCCTCCTGACCGGACCCGGCTCGGTGTAGGGGAAGGGGGGGGGAAGGGGGCCGACTAGTCCCGTGTAACGACCTTATACGGTTCACAACGTTCCTACCTGCCACACTATCCCGTTATCTAACGTCAGAGCCCTCCCCCTCCTAGTCTTCCTCAATTAACGTCCCTTCTTTCCCTCCCACAGCCCTGGCCGGCCAGCTCTCTCATTTACTATCTGCCCCCTCCCCCTGTTAGGTGCTCCGGGTGTCACCACACAAAATACCGATTAAAACAGAAAACAACCAAGCGAGGCGTCTGGCACTGTGCTTCCGAGCGGCGTCGTTGCCGGTCTGCCAGGAGTCTAAGTCCGCTGTACGTACGGGGGTCCCATGTCCGCCCGTGTCTCAGTCGCTGTCACATCGGCCACAGCAATGGCGGCTCCTCCCTCCTTCGTTGCTTCAGCGCGCATGCTCCGTCCTACCGAACGTAACCCCCGCCCACCCAAAGAACTGATTGGTAGAGAACTGCCCTGACGTTGTGAATTTCTCCCTCAAAGCCGAGCCAATAGCGCTGCTACTAGGTGGGAGTGTCGCTGGTGATGTCACGTGGCCAAGGTGCAACTTAGTTTAAAAAAAGAAAAAAAAAATCCGAATTTGTCTGTGTGACGTGAAGGTGTGAGGAAAAAATGAGACATAAAAAGCATGAGGTGCTGCTGCTATGTGTAGGACTTTACACGACATGTGGCTACAGTGGAATAGTGTGATACAGTTTAAAGTGCACCTGTCAAGATTGAAAACTGATCACCATGATAAGCAAATATGGTCCAAATAAGAGAGGCACGGGTATTCTTTCTCCAGCCTTGGCCAGGGGAATTTATCAAAACTGGAGCTGCAGTGCATGGCAACCAATCAGCTTCTCTCTTTCATTTTCAAATCTTAACTGAACAAACTGAAAAAAATAAGCAGATTGGTTGTCATGGGCAACTGCGACAGATTCTGTCTGCTCCAGTTTTGATAAATTCCCCTCTTGTTTTGTGTATTTCTTCCAGATCTGTGCAGTGTTTCAGTGTGAAACTGCCTCTGTGCAGCATGTCCGGCTTCATTTTATACTGCGCTTGTGTGCCATGACCCTGTTCATTCCTATGGGTGACTGCAATGATGGCGGCCTCAAGGGATCCCTCAGAGTATAGCATATCCAGGGCAGCCATCAGACATTTTGGGGCCCCTTACACGGCTTTTAGCTTTTTTTACTCCATCACAAGACAGAGGGGAAAAATAAATAAATAAGCGGACACAGATGCCACAAAAGTGTCTTCAAACCTATTTGGCTCTGATTCAGCCGGGAATATGATCGCAGATTGGAGCAGATGTTGCCCGGATACAAGGCCCCTAAAACCTGTAACAGTAATCTATAGCACTGTATGCTTTCCATGTAGAGGATTATTGTGTACACTGGCCATCTCCCAAACAGAAGTACACCATATTCCCAAACACTCAGGACCCCTAATGTCACAAAAAGGGCTGGTGTGTCACCGTTGTTAGCCACAATCTGTGGGCTACCCCACACTGCAAGGGTTATGTGTTTTCATTTAGGAGCAAAAATAACAAAGTTGTACTCACCTAAACCGGCTGGCTGTTAGACCATTCCATGTGGTCTGTCTCCTCCTCCGTTCCAGCAATGATATGACCCTTGGTGTCCTCATGTCACGTCCAATATTCTGTACTGGGCTCGATGAATAGATGATTCCTACACCACTGCAGAGAAGGGGGAGAGACACTCTAGGGACTGGTCTAAGAGCTGGCTGGCTCTGAGGTTTTGGTAAATATAATTCACAAGGTTTTTAAGTAATTTCAAATGCTGACTGAATCACTCACTATGGATGCTGCTCCTTGATGTTGAAAAGTTTTAGTTTTCTGCAAAATCAGCTGGTCCCCTGAGCGCTGGCCTTGATATCCTGTTTTGGGCTGACTCCTTTCCCTTGCAGGATTCCATAGAGCCACCCTTGGGTGTGCTACACAAAAATACAGCAGGGCAAGCCACCTCCCTCCTTCCCGTCCCAGCTCCCCACTCCTCCCTTCTCCAAGCTAGTAGATGGACAGTTGCTGGAGACGGTGGGATTTTGTACTGGACAGGAAGTGCAGAGAAGCCGAACTGAGAGAGTTTGAGCTCTTCAGAAACATAAGGGTTGTTAGTGCTTGGGTAAAAAAATTAAGAAATACTGGACAATATATACAGTATGTTTGATATGGATTCATCATTGAAAAAATGTTTTAGGCTTCAATAATACTTTAAAATGATGAAAAGTATTAGGATACACCAAACCTTTCACCAAACCCCTAAATTATCGCGTTTGTTATTTTTAAAAAGCCAGTATAAGGGCTTGTTCACACTACGGCTCTGGAACGCACCGCAATTGGTGTGAACAAGCCCTAAAGGAAACGAAGTGGTGGTGACAAAAACACTTGCTCGTTTAACCAATCGTTTACTACTTAAATTCAAGAACTCCATACAGCATCCAGAGCCAATAATAAAAGGGTGATACGGCATGATGAAATGACGTATGGCCTCAAAACGACATAACTCCCAATCCAAGATATTACCAGGACACCATGTTCAGATAGACATCTGGGGATACCTTGGACTTAGGATTGTATTACTGTGTCTCCACTGGAAAGATTGAGCAATTTCCTGTTACCATAATACAACGGCTATCAGTAAAATGACAAATGAACAAACTTTGTTACCCGAAGGCTTCAATGACTGTGGTGAAAATGCGATTACTTCTATATGATTTATTTTGAACTTTTAGCTGACAATTATCTATTGCTTCTTTCACTGCTATGTCTATATTAGGGTTGCCACCTGTCCAGGATTCACCCGGACAGTTCGGGTTTTGAATGCTGTGTCCAGGTTTCATGGCACAAGGAAACCGGACACAAGATGTCAGGTAGACAGGGGCAACCAAAATTAAGATAGGGGCTACTGGCCCCCCACTAAAAATAGTCTCAACTGTGATATTTACATATTAATGAGTGGTGCCTTTTACATATGAATAAGCCACAACTCATTCTCCCAAAAAAATATGTCCACGTGTCGCTAGAGTGTTCGGGTTTTGCTTGAAGAAAAGGTGGCAACCCTAGTCTATATGACAATTTGCATGTGTTAAGGTGCCCATACACCTTACGAACCATCGCAAGACTTTTGTCTTGCGATGGTCGTAAGCTTATTAAAAGCTCGTACGATCTGCCCATCTTGGACAGGCAGATCGTACTTGCGATCATCGAAAGCCCACCCCGCTTAGGGGCGGGCTTCCGATGACCGCAGTGAGGGGCGGGCTTCCGATCACTGCAAACGGGCAGTGTGCGCGTGCACACACCGGCCCGTTCGGCAGTTGTCGAACAAGCAGGCCACTAAACGTAATCGTATGATTCTCGGCGGGTTTTCAAGCCTGCTTGTCCGATGGAAAACGTGCGACCGCACAGTAGAAACGGTCGCACGCCTTCCATACACCGTACGATTATCGTACGATCGCGCGATTTCCCGCGATTCTCGTACCAGAATCGTACAGTGTATGGGCACCTTTAGGCCCCGTTTACATTGAGCGATTTATCGCGCGATTTTTGCAGCGATATCGCTCATATTTCCGCGCGATATCACTCTATGTAGCTTCTCCAATACATTTCAATGGAGCTGTTCACATCTCGTCGCTCAATATCGCTCAATATCGCTTGTAGCTCGTCGCTGGTAGCTTGTCGCTCCTACATGACCCTTTTTAAGGCCCCGTTCCCACTGCGCGATATGCAAATCGCGCGTTTGTCGCGCGATTTGCATATTGCGCGACATCGCGAGATTTGCCGTGCGATGTCGCGTTCAAGCTTGCATTGAGCAAGCTTGAATCGCGGCTAAATCCGCTCAAAAAAGGGTCCTGCTGTAGCGACACACGACCCGCGACAGCAGGACCCTTTGCCCCATTGGATTGCATTGGAGCGCGATATCGCGCGGTAATTTGCCGCGATATCGCGGGAATTACCGTGCAATAAATCGCTCAATGTGAACGGGGTCTAAGAGCGATTTTGAGCGATATTGCTCCTGATTGCATACAGCCCAATAGAAAAAAGTCGCGCGATGTCGGGCGACACGTCGCTCAATATCGCTCGTCGCGCAATATCGCTCAAAGTCGCGCGATTTTCATGTCGCTCAGTGTGAATGGGGCCTTAGATGTCACGTTTTGTTAAGACTTGGTATATTAAAAACTGCCAAAACTGAAAAGCAGAACATTCAAACCTTTGGGACTTTCCCTAATACAATGTGAACTGTGTCCTCTTGTGGAGATTACAACATTTACTTAGGACACCCACACATTTTGACTTTGGATGGAATCTCTATTTGGCAATTAGACAATTGTTTTGCAAGTGTATACAGTGAAGAGGCTGTTGTGGCCAACAACAATGATAGTGCAAAGAAATTAATGAGTATACAAATGATCCTGGGGTGTTATGTGACATGTTTTCAACTGTTTTACATCAATACTGTATGAGCCCTCACTAATATACTAGATTACTTACCTCTTTGAGGATATCTTCACAAATTTGTTCATTTGAACCCTTTTAAATCAGGAAGGAATGATCTGTATAACAAATATATTTAGGGATGTACCGATAGCGATACTAGAACTCTTGAAAATGCCCCGATACATAGCCCGACATTGGCATTTTACATTTTTAAATAGATTCAGCTGCCTGAGCACTTGCTGGGGACCGCGCGGCAGCTGTCTTTGACAGTGCTGTCCCAGTCGCACATCTCCTCCTTCCTGAGACCGGCACAACAACGAAGAGTCGATACACGCCCGTTCAGCCCTGGAGAGCCTGGCACTTTCCTGAACAGTCCTGGAGAGCCCTACTTGCAGCCCTGGTGAGACCTGAACACAGTCCTGGGGAGACCCACATGCAGCCGCCCGGGTGGGACCCCACACAGCCCCGGTGAGACTGCACACAG